GTATCAAATAATCTCTTATTATCAAAGAGTTTGTTGTATCGTTTTCTATCAAAAGCAAAATAATTTTCAATATATGATATGACATATTTTATATCATATCCAGGATGAATGTAAAAGGATCTAGTAAAAATTTAATATCATCTTTTACTGCATCTTTTAAAATAGAACTATGAGATAATAGGATAGAGAAAATAATTATAGTACTTACCTCCATTTCTGGTAAAATTTCTTCACATGCTTTAGTTTTTTATTGGTCATATATACAGTGCCTAGCAACAAATCACCAGTCACGTGACAATGATCAATTTTAATGCAAATTTTTAAATTCAAATTACTCAATCATTGCCGCACTAAATTTAATAAAATTTTTTTTATTTGCATAATAAAAAACTTCAGCTATTTATTAATACTTTATTGGATGACCTTTACTTTTTATAACAGCAGCAACTCGATGAGGCATGCTATCAATAAGATTTTGATATTTATTAACATCAAGATTTGACCACTCCTCTTGAAGTATTTCCCATAAATCTTTCCTGTTTTTTGGTAATAGAGTGTATGCCTGCACCTGCCTTTCTAATTTATCCCATAAATTTTTTATCAGATTAAGATCCAAATTCTATGCAGGCCAGGGAATACTATTCACTTTATGTTTCACTTTTTATCTTTTAATAATATTTGCAGTATATATAGAAGCGTTATCCTCTTGAAAAAATAATTATCCTGATTATCTAAACCCTCTAAAAATGAAATTAAATTATTTTTTAACACTTTCTTATATACTGCAGCTGTTACCCTTCCTTCTAATTTTACTAATGGACCAAGATTATGTTTTACGAAACATCCCCACACTATTACTCCTTGTTAACCTGACTTTACTGTAGGAATTAAACACTCTACATCATACTTTTTATGAGGCTGTCTTCAAATCCATCTTCTACCATTTCCTCCAAACACTTTAAACTTAGATTCATCATTCCAAATGATACTTTTCTATTTATTTACCCACTCTTTTTTTTCTTTAGCTCAAACAAGTCTTTTTTGCTTATTTTTTTCACTTATGAAAGGTTTTCTTACACTAACTCAACTATAGAAACCTTATTTATAAAGGTAAGTACTTAAAGTTTTTTTACTAACTTTTGTTGAAGTGGAATTGATAAATTCTTCATATAATTCCTGAAGGTTCATTTTTCTATTTTCTTTAAGAATTCTTGTCAAATGACAACCATCTCTTTCAATTATTATAGATAGTCTACTAGTTCTAGAAGCAAGTGTTTTGTCTTCACAAATTTTATAAGTAGAAATAACATCATGAATGGTACTTTGGAGATGATTTAAAGCTTCACCAATCTTTCTTTCCCTTATTTCATATTTTCAAGTATCAACGACTTCATCACATTCAAAAATGAAAAGTTCTTTTTTTTTAAAAGCCATGTTTAAATAAGAAAGATTTTAGTAATATGTGACAAAAACTAAAGGTGTATTAATAAGAAAATGGCCAAGATAACAGGTTTTAAAGATAACAAATAATGATCAACAATTACGTAACTGGTAACTTCTTGCCAGATACTATAGGTAAAGAATTCTTTACGCTGATTAATTTTTAAATTCAAATAATAATATTTTTACATCAAATTCTTTCGTATAAAGATTTATAATATTTTGAATTTATGTACTGGTTAAATTAGAAATAGCATCAACACTATGTAATATACTTAATTTTATCTTTTCCTATCTCTTTGAATAATGTATAGATAGTTCTAGCTTTTTGAGTTATCTTACATAAATATTCTCTCTTGATTTTAGGTAAATACTACATTATTTCATCATAAATTTGTGTTTTTGTCATTTGATCACTAATATTTTTTTCTGAACTGAGATTTGAAACTTTTTTTCTCATATTTCTCACTATAATAATATCATCACAATTTTTCTTTTCGTCTAATTTTTTCAGCTTTGCCAAATAAATATACTAAATAAGATACAGAACCAAGAATTAAATCTATGTTAATAGGAATATCTGAAATTTATTTAATGAAGATAGAATTCAATGGGATTTTCTTTAGGTTTTGTAAGGATATGAAATCAGTGCCTCTAATAAATTCAAATAACTCACGTATTAAACCTTATTTTACTTTCTGATTGTAGGGAATTTTAGAAGAAATGTCATATATTCTGGAAGAAAACCTTGCATTTACAATATTCAGATCTTTATTATGATTAGATGGCATTTTCTCTGCTTCAAATATAAAAACATTCTTATTATGTGTGGTAGAAATCTGAGATTTTATACTCTATTTATGAGAAATATTGGTAACATTCTTAGGAGTTAAGAGCAACTCTTGATTCTGAAGCTTTTCTTTACTTTTTCTATCTCTTATTTTGTTTTTAATCCTTTTTTTATTTACAGAATTCAAGAATTCATCAATATCTTTACCTTCTAATAATTTGGATTCCATGCAAATAAACTGATATAAATCAGATTTTGATGTATTATCTAATACATCAGATGTCAGTACGTTTTCATTTCATAAGATTATTATTTAGGAATATGGTTAGAACTTATTTTAGGGAAAACAGTTATTAGAGTCTTTGAAACATTAGCAATAGTTTGATAATATGCCATACCCTTGTCTTGTAAGCTCTGCCTCTTGATTAGTGAAATATTACGTTTCAATTTAACAATAAGGTTAGTTTTTTCTTTATCACTCTATTCTAGTTTAGCAATAAGGTTGGTCTTTTCTTTATCTCTCTGCTCTAGATTTGTGAATCTAGCTTCAACTTCTTCTTTATCTTATTTTAGTTTTATATTTCAGATTTAATATCAGCATTCTCTTTTCTAAGTTTATCAATTTTGGCTATAAATCTAGAATTTAATTCCTTCAATGAATCAACTGTAGATTGTGCGCTTACTATTATTTTATTTAAGATATAAATATATTTAAAAGGTTAATCATATAAAAAATATTGTTGTGTAAAAATCGTGTTAATATGCCTTTGCTTTATTTATTATAACATTATTTATTATAATCTAGTTTCAATATCCTGGATAGAATAAAAATGATTATTAATTGTACAAAGTATGCAATCCCCCAATGTGTATCATTTAGTTATCTATTATGTTGCTTGCCATTTGCAATGCTGATAAATTTTCTGGTAATCTGTACAAAAGAATAGTTATTTAATAAGTGAAATATTCGTGTCTGTCATTATTGTCTGAAAGACATATTTCTATGCAAAGTGAAAATTTGATCAGTCATGAGATTTGTCACGATGTGTGATTTTTATCCAATATACTTTTTTTTAGCTTATAAACATATCTGTCACGATATCCATTAATAAAATATATAAATATTTTAATCACAAATATAAAGATTAGAAAATAGTCAGATTTTAAATAAATGTGAAATAGAACCATTCGATAGGAAAATAGACGCTTATATTAAAGATCTTAAAATTATTGATATGGTATGAGAAAAAAGACAACAAAAAGCATGTCAGCTTCTTGACAGATATCATGAGGCAAGTAAAAACTTTCTGCTACAATAGTGGCATGATAATCATAAGCCTGCTCAGTCTTTTATCATTCAAGGCTGTTCGCTAAGTCACAAACCAGTGTTAGAGCATAAGTAATCTGCTTGGTTACTTACTGTTCAAGAAAGCTATTCGCTAATCTAACACTGAACCCATTAGGGTCAGGTGGCCTGTTTGGTTACCTGATGCTTTAATGGGATGAAAATTAAAATATAAGTAGAATTTCTGCTAATTTTCAAATTTTTTGTGAAAAAATCCTAGAACAGATTGTGATATCACGAAATCCTAGGAAAAGGAATGTGTACACAAACAAGTTCACCTACACTAGCAAATAAGAGCTATAAATTTAGTCAACAAAACAGTTAACAGGGGAAAAGTTAAAGCCAACAGCAATCCGCTTATCAGAAGATCACTGAGAAAAATAAATAGAATAAATTATGCCAAAAATTCAAAAAGAGTGAATAATACCAGTAAGCAAACCCATGAAGAGGAATGTAAAATGCTATTAGTTAATATTTCCTGTTTTAATATCTCTAATTTTTCTAATGTTAGGTTTATAATAATGAATATGATGAAATCGATTACTATGACAAAAGTGACGATGAGAATGAAAACGAGGATGTCAACAAAAATAACAACTATGACAATGAGAATGAAGGTGAAGATGTCAATGAAAATATCGATGAAGATGGTAATAAAGATATCGACGAAGATAACAACAAAGACAAGAAGGCCAAGAAGAGAATGAAGTTAGAGAAAAAATTGATTGATAATTTTATTTTGAGATTTAAGACAATAAATACGGATAACAAATAGAAACTTCCTTCAGGTAGATTTGTAGAAGATGTTTTATATGATTGGGCAGTGACTCACCATTATGAAACGTAGATATACTGCATTTATTGCATTGATCATATTGGTTACTAAATATATGTATAATGACTAATCATTTCTTTGTCTAAATATTTCATTAAGACTTACATATTTTTTTATATTAGACACAGATTGTCAAGAAATTATGGATCTGTTTAGTTCTGAGGAAAAGGAGACAATTTAAATACTAATAAAAAGTCTTTTTTGGCTGTACAAGATGATATTAAAAAATATATTATAAATTATTACAAGGTATTCTGTTTGATAAAGGTTATTCGAATTGAGACATTTATTCATAAATCTTCTAAATCTCTATAGAAAAATGTTAGCAATCTTTGACAAATCGTCATGAAACTATATTTGGAAAATATAAAGACCTATAATCTAAAGTTACATTATGATCTGGAGTGGATTCACTTAGTATTCAATAAATTGTGAGTTAACTCTTATCATTATATAATATTTTTAATTCGCAACTGATTTCTTCTCTTTATTAATATAGTATTATTGAATGAAAACAAGATGTGAATGCGTTAGTAGACGATAATTTGGAAGCATAGATTGTGAGTCATATATAGACTTTTATTGTCGATATGATATTAAAGAATATTAAAGAAACAAAAATTGGAAAGTATGTTGTTAGTGTTTAAACAAAAATTGTTATAATATTCTTATAATATTAGTGATTAAGTTCATATTTTTCATTTTTATAGATCAGAGGGTGGTTTGTATATATTGAAAATGCGTAAAAACAAAAAAACAAAAATTAGAAAATCCGTTATTTGTGTAATAAATCTTTAAAACTGCAATATTGTGCATGTAAATAGTTCGAATTAATTAATTAATTTTTTTTTAATAATAATAGGGTAGGAAGATTGACATATTATTAAAACTTCGTAATAGTTCAAGAGAAATACTAGCTGGTGAGGTCACTAGAACAGGAGATATTTACAATAGAAAATATTTAGGAGATAGAATAAAACTATTAAAACTTATGAAAGATATGTTCGATTTAATGATTGAATCAATTCTACCAATCACAATTGAAAATTATAAGAGTCTTTGTATATTTGGAATACAACTTTTCAGTAAGTGAACATTATATATATATTATATGATACATTGTCATTAATTTTATAATTACATAGAAAATAAAGGCACTATCTACATTATGGATTGCTCTAGAGGAGTTATTGCACGATTAACTAAGAAAGCACAATTGAAAGCTCTTATATATATTGAAGGCATTTGCGAATTAATTTTGTCTATAGTTACAATATTGGAATTAAAGATAATACCTTAGTATTGAGTTGTATATTTCTAATACCTTTGTATTTATCTGCTTTGATATTTTTCTGTTATCTTGTAGAATGCAATTCGAGAGATCTTTCATATAATTGAGAAAATAGAAAGTGACAAATTAGAGGCCCAAGTCTTTCAAAGAAATAATACAGATTCTCGATTACCACTTGTAGGAACTATGTCAACTCCTTGGACCTTACTTGTAAATAAAAAGGTCATGTAACAATTGCATGAACACGTTGATTTTAAAAATTGCATTTTAATAAAACTCACTTTTTCATAGAATAACTATATGTATTTTATAATACCAAACATGTTGCAAAATAATCCAGTTTTATTGAGACTTCTGTGATAAATGATCTCTGTATTGTGATTAGCTAAATAAAATCATGTGCACATGAAGAATTCTTCATACTAATTACTTTTATCAAGAGAAATTCTTGATCACTTTTCTTTATTTAATAAAAATAATACAGTATTGTTATATACATGTAAAATATAGGAAATTATTTATTTATTATTTTTGGTAATTTTTTCTTATACATGACATCTCTTGCTTTTGGATTCATCATATACAGTATGTTGAAAAAAAAACCAGAATTACTATTTTTGTATTTTTTGATAAATATCTATTCAAATAATATAAAAGTTTAAAGATAAGTACTTGAAAATCTAATGAAAATCATTTAATTAGAATCATTTGATAGCTTACCTTAATAAAATATTTTGTAATTTACATTTTAAATACAAATTTTTTTTTAAAAAAATTTATTATAAAGTCAAAAATATTTTATTTATTAATTAATAATTTAATATATTATAAACATTAATTAATTTCTTTAAATTAATTTATATTAACTAATTATAATTTTTCTTAAAATATTTTTATTACTAAATTTTCTTAATTAAAAAATTGATAATTATGAAATATTTTATTATGATAAGTGATCAAATGACTCTAAGTAAAGTTATTTATATCAAAAATTTATATATATTTCTAATTCTAAATTTATTGTATATAATTTAAATAATACTTATAGAAAAAATTAAAAATTTCAGTTTTTTTTGCAACATACTATATGGTTACTCTATCTTTTAATAATCCTTTAATTACGCTAATAACTTATTTTATATCTTTTCTCAGAATTTTCCAATTTCCCTTAAGTATTTTTTTTCATAAGATTTATTTGATATTCATTATTGCTTGTATAAAAATTCCTTCAGAAGTAAACATAATAAAATGCTAATCCTCACTTAAAAATAAATCTGATAATTAATATAACTATAATACCTTTAGCAAAAAAAATCCTAGTATATGTGTATGTAATATTATATATTTGTTGATATAATCTCATATATATAGTCATAATTCTCATTTTTGAATGCTTTATCTGCCATTCGCTTTTTGTTCATATAGAAAGAATTCTTAAGTTATTTTATATTTTAAAGGTAACCAATATTAACATTTTATAGTTTTCCTCAATAATATATAAAAGATCTTCTATTATTATTATTGCATAATCAACTCAACTAGCCTCTGCAATTTTATATTAATTTTTTTATCTGTTAATCTCTATGCGATTGTGATTATGTATGTAATATAGATGAAATAAATTCACATCAGATCATCTCATTGACCTCTATCATTGATTTTACATTTATTAAATGTAGTATTATTTTATTCATATATTATTCAAGATTTTTATTATTATTATATACTTTTCAGAAACTATACAGTAGAAAAAAACGTTAACATATAATCAATACTCAATCATGATATTTTGTCACAGTTTTTGCCAAGATAAAGTCTATTATTTTACAATAGAAAAAATAAAATTAAGTATTATGTACTCAAGTTAAATTATTTAATACTTATTGTATTTTTATTATTAACTTTATATTTATAGAGTACATTTTTTAACTTGTTTAGAGTTTTTTATGATGAGAAGTTTTGTAGTATTTGTCCTAAACCCTTGATAAATTTTGCAAATGCTATTGTAGAATCTCCCTTAAAACTATAGTTGCAAAATCATCCTTAATCATATTTAAATTATTGATGAAGAGAAACTAAACTTACAAATGGATATGCTAAATGATGATGATATACTTACAGATACCAATATTACAAGACACAACAATCTTCCTTCGTCTTTCATGTCTTCTAACACACAACAACCTTTTCTTATAAATCAAAATAAATTATCACTAGATAATCATAATAAAATGAATAATAAACAAACTTATGCATCAGTTATATAACAAAAAACTAATCTTAATGCATCTATAGATTATAATAATACTATTAATAATATTGACATATTATCATACAATCCAATTAACAACAACAAACAAAATTAAAAGTTATACAAAGATGATCTCTGTCACAATTTAAAAAACTCTTCTCACATGACTTAACCTAATAAAAAGAAAATGTTTTTATATTACTTTTAACTTTTGCTATACTAGGTAATATTAGAATAGACAAATTGAATTTCTTATCCTTCCTTTTTTCTCATAAACCTGGTTTTATTAATATAGACTAAAAATTCTATAATGGTAATGCCAATATCTTTATAAAATTCAACAATAGAAAATTACTGTTAGATGCTATAGATGATGCTTTGTTGATTTACCCAAAACTTCCCTTTAACTTAATCAATGATGCTTCTTTTCCTAATCTTCATCATAATAATCCTACTTATAAACTCAAAGCAGTCCCTAGTAATATAACACAAAACTACATTAATAGAGCTCTTTTCTATTATGGATCAATTACTTCTATTGTGGATTAATATAGAAATCGATATTTCTCATCATATGATGTTATCATCACATTTGATAAAATTAGAAAACCACATTAATTAAATACAGCTTAGATATACAACATCAATGGATAAGTTATTAGATGCGTACATATTGATACTTCATTAGAAGAATTAAAAGACAGAAACCGTTATGTAGCTGGTTTCAAAGGCTTTATGAATAAAATAACACCCTCTGATACTTTCTGTATCTTAAGAGCCTTTAATGCTAAATCATATTATTTTCACAATAATATTACCTATGCTGCCTTTGCATCTGAAGAAGATATGAACTCTATCTGTTTGCAAAGAAATATATATAATAGGGAAGACCCAGAATTCTCAATCATTCTTACACTCAAGCTGAATTAGTCCTTTTATCAAATACCATTCCTTCTAGGTCTTCTATCAATAATTATTAAAGAAATAGATGCTTATCATTCAGTAATAATTTAAAACAAGAAAAAGGCAAAAATGTTGATTATACAATTTCTACTATATCAAACATTGAAAATCATACTAACAGTAGTTCCAATCCTCTCAATTTAATCTTATCAAAACTTTAGAAATTAGACTCAATAAAATCTCATTTGACAAAACTAGATTCTTAGATTCTTACCTTTACCAATCATGATAGGCCTACAGCTCATCAATTATAATATATTTCACACCAAGCAAATTAATACTAAAAAGTATTTCTACTGATAACTGAAAACTTCAAATAATAATATAGATGTCAATTCTTTTTTAAATAATCAAGTTTCCTACTTTTATAATAATAGATAAAACAACGTTAATAAAATTGATAAAAATATTTTACACCTAGATGTAAACATATACAATAATATAATTAAAGGAGATACAATTACTTTCTTCACACATAATATATGAGAAATCAATAACATCACAGATCCTATTAAATCTTCACAAATAATGGAATACTTCATACATAACAATATAGATTTTATTAGTCTTACAGAAACTTACCATAATTCCTCAATGTTTTATAAACACAAAAAAGATCAACACTATACAACTTTTTGAAGCTAACCCAATCCACTTTAACCTTTTGCAGGTGTTATCTTTTTCATTTCAAAAAAATAGGACAAACATATAGTTTTTTCGTTTACATCTGATCCAAGATTACTTTATATAGACTTATACCTAAAAAGATATGTAAAACTTAGAATAATTAGCTGTTATGTTTATGCTAACATTGTAGGTTCTAAATGTAAACATGATAGGAGATTCTTACAAAAACAAATTCTTAATCTACTAGATGATTGTAATAAACAACAATATCACATAATTGTAATGGAAAACTTCAATATTGATATAGATGATTACCATGAATGCTTAAAACTCAATAAAAATCTTGGCTGATGCTTTGATTTAATAGAATAATTTTCACACAGAAATTATATAGATCTACAGTTATACTGTAATGATGATATCCTTCCAACTTTTTTTCACCTCATAGTACAATTAAAACCTACACATCTAAAAGACTAGATGGTATTTTTTGTTCATCAGACTTCTTTGCTGATCTTCTTTACTGTGGTGTTTCAAAGTCTTTAATTTATCAATCAGATCACAAGATAGTTACTTTATTTTCGCTACTCCTATTAAAAAACAAAAAGCTTAAGCAAGACGTAATAAGACAAAGAGGAGAAAATTTAACTTTGTCACAATGATTATACAACAATGGAAACTTTTTGCAGAAGCTACTGATATACATTTCAAATAACACAACATTAATATGAAGAACATATAAAAACAGCTCAGAAATACTATTATAACTGCTGCTACTAAATCCATTCCTCATAAATGAGTTTTTGCAGATCAAAAAACTCTTAAATTAAAAGAACTAGTAACTTATTATGATCACATGAAACTAATTAATAAAATAGTAATAAAATTCAGATCTGCTAGAGTGAATTCAAAAACTTGGCCTTTAGGAAAAAAATGGATTGCTGATCTCAAAATTATAAAAAAAGTTACATTTTCTGCCAAATTACCACTTACTCTTTTACTAAACATACTTATTGAGACCAATATTAAAGCAATTAGGAAACTTTTATTGAAATTATATCACAACCTAAAAGCACTAGCTAGAATTAAAGAAGCTAATATTTCATAACAAAGAATCAAATATTTTATTATTAATTAACATTACCTCCAATACGAATCAAATTTAGAAAAAATGATTCAGTCAGCACTAAGATGATTAAAAAAACTATTGTATTGGATTGTCTCATCATTAAAGACACAAATAGAAAATGTTCTCTAATTAATGATCCACATCTTATTAAATAACATGTTAATAAACATTTTCAAAACTATACTATTCTTGATTCACCTGTTACTTCTCTCTTTAGAAGATGGATTAATTAATATCAACCAAAAGATTATGTGAATGATAACTGATTCAATAATCTCATGCAACCTCCCACTATAGAAGAATTGTCTTCAGTTATTGCTCAACTTCTGAATAATAAAACTGCTAGTTCTTCAGGAATTTTTTTTTTTTTTTAACGATGTGGCACTGCCA